TGAAGTTGTTATGATACATAAACGTATAGTAATTACAAATGTAAGCGCTATGTCTAAATGATTAAAATCTAATACGAAGGTACAAAATCGATTAATCGACTAGATTTTGTTTAATCATTTATATTAACACTTGGGGGGGGGGGCATCCATAAAGTACATACGCAGTAAAATCGCTGATTTAGGGCGCTTCCTTCCCTTGTACGCACCTGTATGCTTTTGATGTGCTTTTTCCCCCTTTTGTGTCCGTATGCATTATTTGTTAAAAAATCAAGCTCGCATCTATTCCCAACGCAAAAAATTTCAAAGCATTGAAAACAGGATGCCCACTGTGCTGGAAAAACTAGAAAATCTATAGTTTTTAGCATTGCCGATGCTGGAAAGTGTTTTTTATCGAAAAATGTTTGCTGTTGAGTATTCTATAAACATTTGTTGATCTTTTTAAGAGTATTTAAATATATTTTAATTTTATATTAACATTTTTATTTATCAAATTTCAGATTATATACTTTGATGTTTGTAAGGTTATGTTTAAGACAGTATTTAATACCTCTGCAGAAGTATTTTAGATGCTGGAATTCAAGTGCTTTTTCAATACCAAGGCTGGAAAAAGGTATGGTTTTTAGGGTCAAAACACTGGAAAAACATCTAAATGAAGTAATTATTGCTGGAGTTTTTTTAATTTTTGTGTAGACGCTCTGAAACAAAATAACCTTTTAATTTTTATCTAATTCGACATTACTCTGTTACATAATGTAGCATTGATTCTTTCAAACTCGTGTGTTTTAATGCTTTTGTTAATAAAAAATAAGAAATAAAGTTTGAAGAGAAAAATAGTTGAACAGCGCACTATGCGTCACGAAGCGTAAATAGGATTTTAACTGAAAAAAAATTTCAACTTCATTATTTTGAAATTTTTTTAACAGAAACAAGTAAGCATTATTAATTAATAAAAAAATGTTTGTTACAAATTTTTTTAAATTCGCCATTTTTTAGTGCGGAATTTTCAGGGGTAAAAAAACCCTGGTTTTCGCTCAACCTTTATATTACATACAATAATTTCCTGAATTTTTTTGCATGTTAACAAATAAATGATGCATTTTGTAAATTAAAAACCAAGAAAAGAAAAAAAAAATCATTTGGATCATTGTTTTCGTGTGTCCGTAAAGATCAATTGATTAGATCATGTTACTACAGAGATAGCCAGTTTTTTATTTATAATAAATTTTCAGCGATAGACTTTTTAGAAGTGAAATAATATTCTGGCTACCTCAATTGTAACAATGTATAAAATCAATGCATTGTAGTGAATTTTATTAAAAACCGGTTAGTTAATAAGTATAAAAAACCTAACTGGATGCGGAGCGATGCATTTGTCTAGTCTTAATGTTATAACTATATATATATATATATATATATTTCATATAAGATTCAAAGTTTGATGTGTTTTTTTGAATTTTATCAGCTAACGATGGGCCAACATCAAGAAAAAATTTGTTGAGGTTTTTAATTATGGCTTCTTTATTATAAATCATTTCCCCGTCAACTAAGAGTTTTTTTGGCAAATTATTTTTAGGCCACAAAGTTAATAAAAACATCTATTAGAACGTTGAGAAACTTTGTAAGAAAGTAAAAAATGAAGAATCAGATGATAGCAGATTTGTTTATTATTTTAATAAGTTTATATTTAACATTTTTTATTATTAATTGTGTTAATGATATAATATGTAAAGTTCTATAAAATATTGGTGCCTACTGTTTTTTGATAAATTTTGAATAAAAATATCCGGACTAATGTAATTTTCCGGATTAGTTAGGAATTAGTCCGGATGAATCGAAAAAAACATAGTAAACTGTTGTTTTTTTTATTAAAACAAGATATTTTTCTTTTAAATATAGAAATATAAACAAAAATTCGAAGTCATGTGAAAAAATCAGGTCAATATGTTGAATGCTTCTTTATTTATAAGCCTATTTCTTATTTTGCATTAGAACGACGCATTGCAGCGGTGTTTCAAAAAAAAAAAAAATTAATTTTAAGTGTGAAAATGTGAAATCGTTATCATTACGTATAATAGGGGTATGACTATAAAACTTTTTTAAGATTTTTTAGTTGTTCTGTTTATAAACACCCAATCAGCATGGAATGTACAAATAATGCCCTTTAGTCAATTAAATCAAATTTGATACGCTTATTGAACGTTTAACTTATATTTTTTATGTGCTGCATCCTATAGGTAGTGTGCAATAATAATTGCACATTAAAAATAATCTCCCTTGCCGAGGCTGCACCGATGGGGATGTGGGCACCTTCCCAGTTTTACAACATTCTGCCGGTTTTGTCGGTAATTTGGAAAACTTGAGACTCGGTCGTTTAAAACTGAACTTTGGCTTTTAAATAAAAAAGCGCCCTACTTTGGTGAGATTTTCCAAATGAGCCCCCCCCCCTTTCCTTTACGTCTTCGCTGTCCATTACAACCCCGTCCCCTGCAATATTATAGGAATAGATTCAATCATTTAAAAAAAAATTAAAAAAAAAACAACAACAGAAAATAAAATATACTAGATTGAAAAATACAGTAAAAAAAAAAAATTAGAAACAATGCAGTAGAAACATTTGGCATTCTAGTTCTTCCAAATACAGAAGATATAAAAATATTGTGTTCACTTAAAAATTATAAATGGGCATTAAATTCCTTACATTAGCCCTCCCCAAACCTATTGTAACCACCACCACAAATACAATATGCAATATACGAACACTTATTGTTGCGTCTTCTCTCGCGACTATTATAACCCGCAAACACTACAGTTAGGCAGGCAGAAAGTATTGACATAAACCCAAAAGGTAATCGTTAAATAAGTTATTATGAATATATTTATTGCTTTCAGAGTAGAGTTGTTCGTCGGTTGGCGATACTTGCAAACTTTAAAAGCAAGATTGGTATTTGCATTTTAAAATGCAATTTCCACAATCTAAGTTGTTGAATAGTGTATAAAATGTATTAAATAATACTTAACTGTTGAATAACGAAAACATTTTATTAAGTAAGCTTTTAAAACCAGGTAATTGTTTATGACATTTTAATTACTTAAAAAAAATGCAATACGTAGTTTTTAACGTGTAAAACCGGGTTGAAACAATAATCAATTAAAATTCAATAACTTTTTTACTATATTTATTTTTATATTTTTTCATTAGATATATGTTTAAAAAAAAACTAAAGAATATATAAATAAATATTAAAAAAAAAAAAACCAAACTATTGAAATAATGAAGGTAAAAAAGTTTGCTTTTTTAGGCAACATTATAATAAAACCGCACGCTCATGAACATTAAAATCACACATTAATTTTTTTAATTTTCAATTTTTTTTTTTGTATTTTTTTTAAACACATTTTAAATTTAAAAAACTATATTAGTTTTTAAATTTTTTGTATAAAAAAAAAAATCAGTTTTACATAAAAGAGTTTGAATACTAAATTTAATAATATTTCTTTTAGAACAATAAAATATAATAAAAAATATTTATTACAAGAAAAAACTTCAGTATTACATTTAATGAATTTAAACTAAATTAAAGAATTCCAAATTTTTGTACAAAAACATCAACATTTGAAAACATTCAGTTGTTATTCTGTTTGGCTTTGCAAACAAAGTGTTTAATGCGTCATTGAAAATACGTTCACTTAGCACTGGTAGCAGGCGTACATAAAATCATTGTTGAAATACAATACAATATTGGAAACACATGTTGATTTTGATGCCAAAAGTGTAAAAACATGCTCATTTACTGACATTAACCACTATTTTCTCTTTTTAAATCTAAACTTATTATTTTGTCACTATTATTTCCGGTTTCATCATCTTTATCGTCAAACGAAAACTTAAATTTGTCACTTTTTTAACAGGAATTAAATCACCAACTTTTTTTGTCAAATGAAATTCCGACAAAAATTCTCTAACGCATTTAAAAAATTTTTTTTTTTCTCGTACTTTTTAAAGAATTGAAAACTTTTACAATTTGGATTCAAAAAAGTGGCACGAAATTTGTACCGGTGTCGTACAAATTTATTTTCCCCATAAATTTATTTCCGTGGCGCAAGTTTTGGTTACTAAGGAAATAATATTACGCGGCTTAAAATTGTTTCCCGACATAAATTTATTTCCGATGTGGAAATAAATTCGCAGAACATTCTACAACAACTGAATATGCAATAGTAATCAAAATTTTACAGTGGGTGGCCATTGAAATAGGGCCATCACGTTTTTTGTTATATTGTCAGCATTAATTCACCTTTCAAACGTAAAGTTCACCATTTTTCATAATTATTTACCTCATTATTACAAATTATTGTGTAGGCAACACTATTTTGTTGCTAGCAACACTGTATTTTGCATATTTTGACAAGTAAAACCGTAAAATTGTGTTCAGTTACCATTTGTAGATTGCCGAAGCTTGTTGTGTGTGTGTTAAGGATCTTTCTTCAAACGTTATTTTTAACCGACTATTTTTAAAAATTTTAATTTTTTAAGTGTTTTATTTAGTGAAAGACTTCTTTGAAAGTAGTTTTTCCAAAAATATACATTATTTCAACTTTTTTAATTTTTTTTTACATATTTTTGTAGTGTGTTTACTTGTCTTTTAGATTTTTTAAAGTTTCTGACAATGGGTAAAAAAAAAAGATGTGAATGTTTCTAAAAAAAGTGAAATAATGTCACTTTTAAGGAACATCAACTATTCTCAACGAGAAATTTCAAAAAGAATTGGCGTTTCTAGGCAGACCGTGCAAAGAATAGCATCAACGCCAAGGTCTGAGAGAATTATCAGGAATATTTGCTTGGAGAATAGAAAGAAACCCAGAAAAATAATCACAACATTGATTAAAGATGCTGGAATTAATATTAGTTATCGCACAGTCAGGAGACGCTTAGATGAGTTAGGCTTTAAGTGTTACCGTCCTGCGAAAAAACCAAAATTAACGCCTGCCATGAAGGATAA